AATAAACGTTAGTAAAACTTAAGATCCTTACACAGTAAATTTGGAGTTTTAGTAATAATAAATAATAAATAAAATGTTAATGACGACATGTTACATGAGAATACAGACATGCATTAAATTCTAGTTTTTAGGTACAATTAATGGTACCACTGGTAATAAGGTGAGGGTGATAAACAATATAAACATTCATTCCAATTTTTATATCATACCTATAAAAAATACTTTTTGATTTTAAATTTTACAAAATTTGGTATATAAAACTAATTAAATGAATCAAATAATGTAAAAGATAAAAGGAAAAATTTTAGTTTTTAATAACTTCGATGTGTTTGGGTCTTCCAACTGCAAATTTTTTTAATGTAAGGCACAATGTTAGAAACACGAAATTTTTATATCAGATGCAGATTTAATTCGATTTCTTTATTTGTATTTTGTTTTAGCGTAATGTGTAAAACTCGACTTGTGCAAATATATTGCCGCAAAAGGAAGTAAAAAAATATGAATAACTCGTTTTCTTTGGATATTCTTCTGACAAATTCATCTAAAATTCGTTTACCAATATTCTTTAAATTTTTATTTATTCTGCTATCAGTTGTCAAATCAATTGATTTTTAAAATATAGTACCTTTAACGATAGAATTACGCTCATTAATTAATATTAATAAAAACTTTATATTTACTTACCAGTTTCAAAAATAAGATAAAATTAAGAAGTGCGAAGAAAATTAAGACTTTTAAAATACTAAAGTAGCACACTGAAGCACTTCTTTGTTTCTGAGCACAGAACAGTAACAGAAATGCATTCTGGATGTATTTTATCGGTAGCATAAGTCATCTGATATCGTGGTACATTACTAAAATTGCGCGAGATTTAAACCACTTTGCTTTATTTTTTTTTAAAATTTATTAATTTTTTTTGCATTTGTTTTACGAGTTATTTTTAGTTGTGTTAATACATAAAATATTAATACATAAAAGCAGACAATGTTTTGTTGATCTCGAACTTTAATTTCATAGTTTTTCGCGGAACACCAGTATTCCGCGAAATACAGTTCGGGAAACACTGGTCTAGTCGAAGGTTATCGGGTGACTTTTTTCAATATCATTTGCCAGAATAACTACTGAGACATAACTAATGTGCAAAAATGTCGTAATGCTGATATTTTAGTGCTTTTAAGTTATGCATTTCGGCTTTCCAAGAAGTACCTCTCATCCTTAAGTTTTAGCATCAAACTGTTTGAAAACCAGGTTAGAGAATAAATTTATGATTCTAAAATTAAAAGAGTGTGAAAATAGTTTAAAAACAGAATGCAATGTACTTTCAGGGATTCCTATCCACAGGTGTTAGCAGTTTTTACGTCTTAAGACTACGCCAATAATGACGACTAGATCACAGTGTGAATGCTCCTTTAAGGGGAAAATTTAGGACAGGCGATAAGTCTCCGAGCTATCTTTACAAAGCCGGAATTAAACATTTAAGTCAAACGCGGTGATGAAATTTCCAACATAAAAGTATTATTGCCATTTTGGTGGTGTTTACATTTTGCGGCTTCTCAACAGATGTGTTTTCATCTATTAAATCAGATGTGTTGTGCAATTACGTGAAAGATCGTAAGTACGTCTTCGCAATATTATCTCATGTTATATATAAAAAATAATATGAAAGCCTGTATTTTTGGATACGAGCTGTAATGACATATATAAGTCTAACTACTGAACATTTCCTGAAATTAATTCCACTTTAGTCCATCTTTGGCCCTTCATCGTAAAACAATAGCCTTTATATAGTATCCCTATTAAAGTTTCTCACAGTGATCTATAGGTTAATTGAATTGCGAACAATACCACAAATGCAAGCAAAGCAAAGGTAATCAGTAAAGCACATAACTTGTATATGTAACACAACACTAGACAGATACTAATGCACTGATTTAATTAATGTCTTAGAATCAGCTGTGTAACTAACATTAAATTATCAGGTCATTCTTTAATTATCATCCTTAAATTAATTTCGCGGATATTGAAATTACGAATTTATATTTAAACTTAAATGCATTTCTTTATTTATTCTGTATTTTAATAAGAACGGCGTAGAGACTGAAGTAAAACTGAAAACTTAAGTTCTGAAAAGGAATATGCAACACAGTTAAATTATTCATATTTTATGCAAAGGAATACGCAGTAAAGTTAAATTATTCGTATATTATTAATTCGAGTTTCTGATGGATGGCTTTACGTCTCCCTTTTCAATGATATTTTAATTGTCATATATTAAACACAGATCTGAGCCTTATATAATTTTAGGCAAACTTTAAAAACTCTATTCAAACATTTGAATTTTTCTCCAAACATAGAAGTGCTCATGTTAATAAAAATTTATTTTATAAAATTTTAATTAATTGCTTAATTTAATGCACTAAATGTAATACATCAGCAGTAGGACTACTTTTGCAAATATTTTGCTTTTGTTCTAACATATTTTGCAAAAATGTGGTATCAGAGATTTGTCCCCAAGTTACATTATTTCGCATATTAACACCCTCAAAATACTTTATTGAATAGTTAGATTAGATCTTTAACAAGCCGCCCAACCAGTATAGTGGTTATCGTCGCTGACTGCTATGCTGAAGGACCCGAGCTCGAATCCCGAAGAAGGCATGGCTACTGGCCGACGACGAACTGTACGCAATGCAAGACTGAAGAAAGCATCTTGAACATTGTTGCTAATAGACAAGGGTCAAGTGCAAGAGCTGTTGCACAAAACGTAGGTGTGAGCCAACATACCATTTGGAGAGTGTTAAACGAAAATCGCTTAACCCTTTAACTGTCAAGTTATTTTGATGATTTGGGTACACAAATTGTCAAATTTTTTTATTGGAAAACCAAATGTAGCCGAAATAAACATCTCCCGATATATATTCGGGTATGACAATACGATGCACTCAAAAAAAAAATTACCCCGAGAAATACTCGGGCGTGACATTTTCGAACACCAGTGCTGTGCCCGAGATAATCTCGGGCATGACAGTTAAAAGGTTAAAGCCCTTTCATTTTCAGCGAGTACAGTCTTTGAATCCTCAAGACTACCTTCTGCACCAGAACTTCTGCCAGTGACTTGCAGCAATCTGCATTGAAGCCGGACTTCACAGCTCATGGGCTATTTACGAATGAGGCGATGTTTACCCCTGAGGGTGTATTTAATCCGCACAGTTTTCACTTGTGAGCAACTGAGAATCCAAGCTCAACGCGACCGCATGCGTCTCAACAATAAATCAGTGTGAATGTGTGGGTGGGTATCGTGTACGACTTCTTAATTGGCCCATACCTACTGCCAAAGCGACTCAATGGTCAGCATTGTCTTATTTTCTGGTACAAATGTTCCCGGAACTGTTCCAAGATGTTCTGATCGCCATTCGCAACCGAATGTGGTTCCAGCTTGATGGGACGCCAACCCACTTCAGCGCTTATGTTCGCAAATACCTGAATACTGTTGGTATGCATATAGTGATGGACTGTTGCCAATAGAGCGATAAAGTGTATGAACTGGAAACCCTGCAAAAAAGTTAACTGTGTAACTCTCTTATTCTTTACACTTACTTTTCTTACTCCTTCAGGAAAGGACAGTGCTATGACAATCTCTATAATATAACTCCCTTTTTCAATATGTATTTGGAATACTAACGAATTTTTATCTATTTTCGTGTATTAATAAAGAATGTGTTTTGTGATCTTACAATTTCCGTCTACACCTATTTTGGATTACAAGTTAATTAGGTATGATCTCGCTTGATGCTGCACTGGATACAAGGTAAGAAGAATCATTTTGCTCTCTATTTTTATTAATTTGTTGTGAAATTTCGAGGCTATAAAAATGTTTTACAACAAAAGATTATAAAACTGATGAAAAGATCATAGCTTAATTAAGTAATAATAAAGAAAAGAAATCTGTAAAAGCTAAACTGTAGTTTCATATTAAAACCGAAAATAAATTTTTTCGACGATACAAAAATGTTGAATTCAAGTCAAATACAAATTGCAAAACTGAGTTCCAGGAATTACTTGTGGAGAACTCTTTATTATTATTATTTGTCCGCTGCCCCGAGAGAGGGCGCTACCAGCTTTCTCCCTCTTCCTCTCTGGAGGAAAATTCGAACTGGTTACTCGGTTCCTAGCTGCCGTCGGTGAAGCACGCACTCACCTCTCCTTCCCTCCGTGATGTTATCGTAGCTGTAATATGACTTTCTTGATTTTTACTCATGCGGACTTGCGAACTGTAAAAATACTCATCTTGTAACTACATGCAATGTGATTGTGTATAAGTGAATATATGTTAAAATATATATCATCCTAGAATTAAATATAAATGTTAATATTACCGAGTCAGATTTTGTTAACATTCAACGTGCAATCAAAAATGGCATCCATCAACAACAGCCATAAATGGTGACTCGTCAAGTTAGTGAACACGTGCCTCCTGTAACCTGCTTGCATCCTCAAGTTCTGTGATTATAATGTGCTATGAAGTGAAAATTATTTCTGTTCATGCAAACTACTAGCGTAATCCATCATTATTTTCGTGTCATCAGCAATATAGTGTGAAAAACAGTTGTGCCTGCTTAACAACGTGCTTGTGAATTATCATGTGTCTCATGCAAATCGTCAAAGTGCTTTGAAGTGATCTCCATATAAATCGTACAACGTGGTTACATATCATAAAATAAGTTTTTTCGGAATATTTTTTCTATAAGTGAATTGTGTTGTGCTGAATCTGCTGCTGACTGAGCAAATATTTCTCGTATAATTCGGAGGTAAGCCACGCAAATTCTTAGTATTACTTATGCTTATATTCGGATAGCTTACCTGCAAAAGTGTTTCTCTCACGTTAATGTTTACATTAACTTTATTTATTTTGCACTAGTGTCGTATGTGAACTTATTAGTGACTGATTATTGTGTATTTATTTGTGTCATATTGGCAATATATATTTGTTTTTGTGAATCATGGCTCCACCACAACCCATCGCAGACGATCTTAATATTTCACGTGTTTCCGTCAAACCTCCCCCATTTTGGAAGGTCAACCCTACTTTGTGGTTTGCACAACTAGAGGCCCAGTTTGATATCGCCGGAATCACTGTTGACTCCACGAAATTCAATCATGTGATATCTGCAATCGAATCTGATATTCTCAATAGCGTTTGTGATATCGTTTTACACCCACCTGTGACTGGCAAATATGATACACTAAAAACACGCTTAATTGAATTGCATTCTGAAAGTGAGGAGTCAAAGATACGTACACTTCTTCAAGGGCTAGAACTTGGCGATCAACGCCCATCACAATTACTTTGCCGTATGCGAAACCTCGCTGGAGAGACCGTTGGAGAACCTTTGTTGAAATCCCTATGGATATCTCGTCTCCCGCAAAATACACAAAGTATTCTTGCTGCCTTAAGTGATGATCTTCCAAAACTAGCAGTTGTAGCTGATAAAATAAATTACAGATCTCACAACTCTCCCGCACATAAATAGTGCTGCTACGGCATCTACCTCTCCCATTGAACAGCAAGTTGCAGAGCTGACAAAGCAGGTAAATGAACTTTCGCTAGCCCTCAAAAACAGCCGTGAGCGTTCCTGTGAACGAAGAGACTATTCCAAACGCAACAGTAGGCGTAATAGATCTAGTGGACGCTATCGACAGTATAAAGAACCGTGCAACAACATCTGTTTCTACCATACTAATTTTGGTTCCAAGGCACGAAAATGTGTTTCTCCGTGCAATTTCCGGCAGTCGGAAAACTAGATCGGCGATCGCTTGCCGGCCAACGTTGCGACCGCCACATCAATCGAATTCTTTTGGCCGATTCATCCTCAAAGCTGACTTTTTTAATTGACACCGGAGCCGATTTATCTGTCATTCCCAAGAGTTACAGTCAGCATGCCAAAATACCAGCTGCATTGGAACTCTTTGCCGCTAACGGCACTAAAATTGCAACGTATGGCACCAAACTTTTGACCATCAATTTAAACTTACGTCGCTCATTTACTTGGCCTTTTATCCTGGCAGACGTCAATCAACCCATCATAGGTGTTGACTTTCTCACAAAGTTCAACTTACTCATAGACGTTAAAAACAACCGTTTAATTGATGGACAAACAAAACTATATTCTTGCGGTAGACTTCCTAATGTGAACCCGCTCAGTACTAGCATTCATATTTTGATGGGTAACTCAAAATTTGACAAAATTCTTGCCGATTACCCTAGCTTGACGAATCCTTCGCAAACTTTTGAGAGGCCACCAATGTCAACGATTTTCCATCACATTGAAACTAAAGGACCTCCTATTTTCTCCAAACCTAGAAGATTATCTCCAGAATTACTTCAAGCTGCACGTCAAGAGTTTGATTTTCTCCTATCAAAAGGCATCATTCAGCCTTCAAAAAGTCCTTGGGCAAGCCCCCTGCACATGGTTCGTAAGGCTAATGGCGACTGGCGACCGTGCGGGGATTATCGTCGCTTAAATGCCGTTACAATTCCGGATCGCTATCCCGTACCCCATATTCAGGATTGCACTCAAATGTTTTCAGGAAAGAACATATTCTCAACACTTGATTTAGCACGTGCCTATCATCAAATTCCTGTTAACCCTGCAGACATTCCGAAAACTGCCGTCACAACCCCTTTTGGTCTTTTTGAATTTTTGGCTATGCCGTTTGGTTTACGAAATTCAGGCCAAACTTTCCAACGTTTTATACATGAAGTTTTATTTGGATTGGATTTTTGCATCCCTTATTTTGACGACATCCTTATTGCATCGACTAGCGAAGAAGAGCACATCCGTCATCTTCGTCAAGTGTTTGATCGTTTGAATAAACATGGTTTGACATTAAACCCTAACAAATGTGTACTCGGAAAACCATCTGTTTCATTTTTAGGTTGCCTCATTACTGCCTCAGGTGTAAAACCCCTGCCTGAGAAAACAAAAGCAATTGCCGACTTCCCAAAACCTACCACTATTGTCGAGCTCAGACGTTTTTTAGCCATGATAAACTTTTATCGCCGCTTCTTACCAAAGGCAGCCGAGACCCAAGCTTCACTGAATGAACTCTTAAAAGACTCACGTAAAAATGATAAACGCCCTGTTCCTTGGAACGACGAACTTAATCAGGCATTTGAAAAATGTAAACACGACCTTAGTAATGCTGCAACTCTCTCCTATCACTCTCCTAACCAAAAGCTGAGTGTTATGGTCGACGCTTCTGACATTTCCATCGGAGCTGTCTTAAACGTTCGACATTCTAATGACTACCAGCCGCTAGGATTTTTCTCACGTAAGCTGTCCCCTACAGAACAAAAATACAGCACGTATGACAGAGAATTATTAGCTATTTACGCAGCTATTAAGTATTTCAGGCATAATCTTGAAGGTCAACACTTCACTATATTTACTGATCACCGACCTCTAACTTATGCATTCACATCAAAATCAAATTCTGCTTCCCCGAGACAAATTCGGCATTTAAATTATATAGCTCAATTCAGCACTGATATTCAGCATATATCAGGTTCCAGCAATGTCGTCGCGGATACTCTCTCACGTATTCAGGGCATCGATGCCAATGCACCACTGGATTTCACGCTTATTGCTCACTCGCAAGCCACTGATGAGGAGTTAAAACGTCTGAGTGAAGACCCAAACTGCTCGCTGAAATTCCAGTCATTACAACTTACTCGGGACCTCCAACTATTGTGCGATACCTCCAACAACAGACTGCGACCTTATGTACCACTTGAGTTCAGGAAAAAAGTTTTTGACTGTTTTCACAACCTATCGCACCCAGGTATCCGGGCTTCCAAAAAGCTCATACAAGAAAGATTCGTTTGGCCATCCATGCTAAAGGACATTGCCAACTGGACTCGTTCCTGCATCATGTGCCAACGTTCAAAAGTTACCCGGCACACACATAGCCCTTTGGAAAAAATTGCGATGCCATCCGAACGATTCGACCATGTCCATATAGACATCGTCGGTCCTCTGCCACCATCTGACGGTTATCGATATCTACTCACCTGCATTGACAGATTTACTCGTTGGCCTGAAGCTTTTCCCATTCAGGACATCTCTGCTGACTCTGTGGCTCGACAATTCATCACCGGTTGGATTGCACGATTTGGTGTACCATCAGTTGTGACTACTGATCAAGGTCGACAATTCCAGTCACACCTTTTCGCTTCTCTGACATCTATGCTTGGAATACGCCGAATTCGCACTTCACCATACCATCCTTCCGCCAACGGCTTAGTGGAACGCTTACATCGCGACCTGAAAGCAGCCCTGAAGTGCCGTAATGACACCCGTTGGACTACTTCACTTCCTCTTGTGCTTCTTGGTTTGCGTTCTTCTTTCAAGCAAGACCTCGCAGGTACATCCGCTGAACTTGTCTACGGCACACCCCTTCGATTACCATCTGAGTTCTTTCAGCCATCCTCTGCTCCAGTCGATCCAGCATCCTTTGTCCAGACTTTCCGAGAGGCGATGAAGAAGCTGTCTCCGACTCCTACTTCGTGCCACAACAAATCTGCCCCTTTCGTGCACCACGCACTGAGCACTTGCACTCACGTGTTTGTGCGAAACGACGCGGTCAAACCACCACTCACTCCTCCATACGATGGACCCTTCAAGGTCTGTGCACGTAACAATAAGCATTTCACCGTTCTCGTGCGCGACAAGGAAACCGTTCTGAGCATAGATCGTCTGAAGCCTGCTTTCTTCGAAGCTTCAAACACTCAGGTTCCTGTGACCAGCGATCGATCCTCCTGACTCCCCGGATCCAACTGCTACTCCGGATACTCCTCCTTCGACCGACCTTACGCTTCCTCCCAGTGCTCCACCAGTCGTCACACGATCGGGAAGACGTGTGCGCTTCAACACCAGATATTTGTGAGCTGATTTTTTTCATCGTACCTTTGGTACTCGGGGGGGGAATACTGTGGAGAACTCTATTATTATTTTTCCGCTGCCCCGAGAGAGGGCGCTACCAGCTTTCTCCCTCTTCCTCTCTGGAGGAAAATTCGAACTGGTTACTCGGTTCCTGACTGCCGTCGGTGAAGCACGCACTCACCTCTCTTTCCCTCCGTGATGTTATCGTAGCTGTAATATGACTTTCTTAATTTTTACTCATGCGGACTTGCGAACTATAAAAATACTCATCTTGTAACTACATGCAATGTGATTGTGTATAAGTGAAGATATGTTAAAATACATATCCTCCTAGAATTAAATATAAATGTTAATATTACCGAGTCAGATTTTGTTAACATTCAACGTGCAATCAAAAATGGCATCGATCACAACAGCCATATACTCAACATGGAAATTCAAAATGCAAATGCTACTAATAAAGGAGGATCTTTACGATGTAATCGAAGGTGTTCCTCCAAACCCCATTACAGAACAATGGAGTAAACGGGATCGGCAATGTCGTGCGATGATAAATTTATTTATTGAAGACAGCCAAATAATTCACATTAAACATGAATCTACTGCTAAAGCCACCTGGGAAAAACTCGGGCAGGTACATGAAACGTCTAATCTTTCAAGTAAACTATTTCTTTTGCGAAAGCTTTACAGTTTGAAGCTTGAAGAAGACGGAAATATGCAAACACATATAAATACATTACTGGAGTTAGTCGATAAACTCAAATCAATGGGTGAGAACATAAAAGACGAACAAGTTTCCGCACTTTTGCTTTGTCAATGCCTAGTTCTTACGATACGCTCATTACGGCTCTTGAAGCCAGAGCAGAATCGGAACTGAATCCAGAATTCTTAAAAGGGAAATTAATTGACGAATTTAACAAGAGAGTTGAAAATAATTCATCAGATTCAAAGGCATTTAAAGCCTCATTTCAAAACAAGACAAAGAGAGAAAAGTTTTGCTCATATTGTCATAAAAATAACCATTTTAAATCAGAGTGTTATCATCTAAAATCGAAACAAAAAAGTGAACCGCGCCAAAACTCAAAATATACGCGGATTCTAAAACATACCAAGCAAAGAATGTCGGTAACCTCGCGAGGAATCAACAACAAACAAAAATTAAAACACCCGAAATCGAATCCAGATGTGACAGCGTCGCTCTGTCTATTAACTACACCGTACATCAATCATCCGAGAGTTTTATTTTCGACAGCAGAGCAAGTAATCACCTGGTAAATAATAAGAAATATTTCACGGAATGTAAACCCATAAATCCGTGAGATATTATAACTGCGAATGGGCAATGTATTAACCCCTTCGCGCCGACTGTCACGTATACGTGCCAGCAACGAACACACTTATCTACCGGCCGACACGCAGGCGTGCCAGAGGATTGTGTCGTTCTCTACCGACTGTCACGTATTTGTGCCAGTACTTTGGAACGTTTTTCAAACTATAATTTCTGCCACAAGATAGCACTGTATGTCCATATGGTTTCAGATACATGTACATTAGACCTTCTACTTGAAATGAGAGAAGCATGACTCACA